CCACAAGAGTTTCCTACAAGAGTGTCCCACAAGAGTGTCCCACAAGAGTTTCCTACAAGAGTGTCACACCAGAGTGTCCCACAAGAGTGTCCCACAAAATTGTCCCACAAGAGTGTCCTACAGGAATGTCCTACAAGAGTGTCCCACAAGAGTGCCCCACAAGAGTGTCCTGCAAGAGTGTCTCACAAGAGTGTCCCACAACAATGTCCGACAAGAGTGTCCCATAAGAGTGTGTCCTATAAGAGTGTCTGGCAAGAGTGTCCCATAAGAGTGACCCACAAGAGTGTCCTATGAGAGTGTCCCACAAGGAGTGTCCTACAAGAGTGTCGTGGAAGAGTGACCCACAAGAGTGTCCCGGAAGCGTGTCCTACGAGAGTGTCTACAAGAGTGTCCCACAAGAGTGTCCCAGAAGAGTGTCCTACAAGAGTGTCCTACAAGAGTGTCCCACAAGAGTGTTCCAGAAGGCTGTCCTACAAGAGTGTCCCAGAAGAGTGTCCCAGAAGAGTATCCTTCAAGAGTGTCCCACAAGAGTGTCCCACAAGATTGTCCCACAAACGTGTCCGACAAGAGTGTCCTATGAGAGTGTCCCACAAGAGTGACCCACAAGAGTGTCCCATAAGAGTGTCCCACAAGAGTGTCCTACAAGAGTGTCCCATGTCCCACAAGAGTTTCCTACAAGACTGTCACACAAGAGTGTCCCACAAGAGTGTCCTACAAGAGTATCCCATAAGAGTGTCCTACAAGAGTGTCCCACAAGAGTTTCCTACAAGAGTGCCCGACAAGAGTGTCCCACAAGAGTGTCCTACAAGAGTATCCCACAAGAGTATCCCACAAGAGTGTCCCACAAGAGTGTCCTACAAGAGTGTCCCACAAGAGTGTCCCACAAGAGTATCCCACAAGAGTTTCCTACAAGAGTGTCCCACAAGGAGTGTCCTACAAGAGTGTCGTGTAAGAGTGACCCAGAAGAGTGTCCTACAAGAGTGTCTCACAAGAGAGTGTCCCATAAGAGT